TGTTATTAATTAATATAAAAAATAGCTCATTCATTTAAAAAAAATGGAAGACATTTTTCATATTTTTTAATTTGATAAAGATAAATATTTAATTTATTCCACAGAAAGTATGTAATAATTAATGAATGAGGGAATTAAATATAACAATTAAAAAAAAGTAGAATATAATTCAAAATAATTTAAGTGATGCTTCACTAAATATTTTTATTGAATCTACGAAGAATCTTAAATAAAAGTTAAATAGAAATATTGAATTAAATTAAACATTAATTTGATTTATAATGACCTATTTTTAGTTAGCTCTCAAAGTCTTATTTTTCCAAGGATTAAGCATTTTAATTATTTAATATTAAGTTATCCAAAAAATTTATTATCAGTTTATACTTGATTTTAATATTAATTAGAACAGATAAATGTGATCTCATATATTAATAATATCTCTTTAAATAAATAAATTACTTTTTTAAGTCAATTTATCGAGTTGGATAGTTGATAAAATTTAGTAATAGTAAACAAAATAGATGATAATACTAACGATTCTGTTAAACACATATACTTTTATTTAGCATTTTCTCTACCGAAGATTTTAATATCATTTCTACTCTTAGACTTCCTAACATGGATTTATCTGCTGCTATAACTTTCATAGAATTCATGGGATTATCTTATGATTTGATGATATAAACTGTAACTAATTCAAAATAGTACCCATCATCCTTTACTAAAACGAGTGGTATGCATCACGTAAAAATACTTAGCAACTTTGTTGAATTCACCAGTTATTTTTTATCTCAGATCTACAATTATATCTATTTAAATGTATATTAAATCTTCAGCTAAACTGTAAGTTTTGCAATCAAAAGACCTAGGACGTGTTAAGGATTGGTCGATTCGCATTAATTTCATGAAAGATATCTCTTTAATTGTAAAAATTCAATATTAAATATTGTCTATTATATCACACAATTGAAATGGATAATTTTTTCGCATTAACTTCGAGAATACTGTTTTTAAAATGATAAAGATTTAAAAAGTAATGTAATGAAAAACGGATATGTTTCTTGAATTTTTAGTCATTTTTCATTCATCTAAAGTTTTAATTATTAACACTTTGATTTATTATGAAATTTTAAATAAATTAATCTAAATTTATAAAAGAATGAAACTTTTAAATGACACATTATACTTTTTATTATCATTATATCGTTATAATATTTAAGGATTTTCTAAATCATTTAAAAAAAACTCTCTAAAAAAGCGAATCAAATCTTTCATAAATATTAAACAATAAAAATTTATTTTTTGGAAACTTGAAATAGCATTTGCTGGAGGCTACAGATGAACATTTATTTATTATTATATTGATTAATCCTTATATTCTCATTTCTTAAGGTTAATAAGATGGAACTACGTTTAATTATTTTATAGATTCTAGATCGGTAAATTAAAATTTTCTACATTCACACTGAAATTCTAACATATAACTCATTATATGATTTAATTCTGTATTGCTTCTGATACTTTATTAGAATTGCATATTCTTCAAAATAAAGATCAAGGTAGATAATTTATTTTTGGATTTCTTAGTCTTCTAAATAAATACTAAGGAAAGTTCAAAAAAACCATTATAAAATTAAAAATAATCNTATTAATTAATATAAAAAATAGCTCATTCATTTAAAAAAAATGGAAGACATTTTTCATATTTTTTAATTTGATAAAGATAAATATTTAATTTATTCCACAGAAAGTATGTAATAATTAATGAATGAGGGAATTAAATATAACAATTAAAAAAAAGTAGAATATAATTCAAAATAATTTAAGTGATGCTTCACTAAATATTTTTATTGAATCTACGAAGAATCTTAAATAAAAGTTAAATAGAAATATTGAATTAAATTAAACATTAATTTGATTTATAATGACCTATTTTTAGTTAGCTCTCAAAGTCTTATTTTTCCAAGGATTAAGCATTTTAATTATTTAATATTAAGTTATCCAAAAAATTTATTATCAGTTTATACTTGATTTTAATATTAATTAGAACAGATAAATGTGATCTCATATATTAATAATATCTCTTTAAATAAATAAATTACTTTTTTAAGTCAATTTATCGAGTTGGATAGTTGATAAAATTTAGTAATAGTAAACAAAATAGATGATAATACTAACGATTCTGTTAAACACATATACTTTTATTTAGCATTTTCTCTACCGAAGATTTTAATATCATTTCTACTCTTAGACTTCCTAACATGGATTTATCTGCTGCTATAACTTTCATAGAATTCATGGGATTATCTTATGATTTGATGATATAAACTGTAACTAATTCAAAATAGTACCCATCATCCTTTACTAAAACGAGTGGTATGCATCACGTAAAAATACTTAGCAACTTTGTTGAATTCACCAGTTATTTTTTATCTCAGATCTACAATTATATCTATTTAAATGTATATTAAATCTTCAGCTAAACTGTAAGTTTTGCAATCAAAAGACCTAGGACGTGTTAAGGATTGGTCGATTCGCATTAATTTCATGAAAGATATCTCTTTAATTGTAAAAATTCAATATTAAATATTGTCTATTATATCACACAATTGAAATGGATAATTTTTTCGCATTAACTTCGAGAATACTGTTTTTAAAATGATAAAGATTTAAAAAGTAATGTAATGAAAAACGGATATGTTTCTTGAATTTTTAGTCATTTTTCATTCATCTAAAGTTTTAATTATTAACACTTTGATTTATTATGAAATTTTAAATAAATTAATCTAAATTTATAAAAGAATGAAACTTTTAAATGACACATTATACTTTTTATTATCATTATATCGTTATAATATTTAAGGATTTTCTAAATCATTTAAAAAAAACTCTCTAAAAAAGCGAATCAAATCTTTCATAAATATTAAACAATAAAAATTTATTTTTTGGAAACTTGAAATAGCATTTGCTGGAGGCTACAGATGAACATTTATTTATTATTATATTGATTAATCCTTATATTCTCATTTCTTAAGGTTAATAAGATGGAACTACGTTTAATTATTTTATAGATTCTAGATCGGTAAATTAAAATTTTCTACATTCACACTGAAATTCTAACATATAACTCATTATATGATTTAATTCTGTATTGCTTCTGATACTTTATTAGAATTGCATATTCTTCAAAATAAAGATCAAGGTAGATAATTTATTTTTGGATTTCTTAGTCTTCTAAATAAATACTAAGGAAAGTTCAAAAAAACCATTATAAAATTAAAAATAATCGATATCCAATAAGTCAAGTTTAAGAGTCTTTAGTTACAAAATTGATTATATTTATTTCAGTCTAGAAGTAAGAGTTCTTGAAATTTTGGCATGAAGATTTATTGTTAGATCATTTTACATATGTAATTAATAATATTGATTTGAAAAAAAAGTTTTCTATGAATAGATATTTATAAAGGTTATTATTGAACTCAATTCATTTTTCTCATGATTTAGTTATCAGCAGCCTACAATTTTTATTCAAATATGTATTTTTACATTTCATCAATCATTTAAACTTGTAGGACTAATGATAATTTCGATGATAGAATTTTTTTCGATTTTAATTAATAATCTTTAATGAAAAGATGGCTATTTTTCAAAGCTTATTAAATATTTTATTTAATGATATTATCATAATTTTAGCCATTCAAATATCGATTAAACTCTTCTTCGAATGATTGAGATAAGGTTATTCCATCCATATTGATCATCTTTTTTTCATTCATGTGGCTTGCCATACTTTTTGCAAACTATTTAGAGTCAAATTATCTCATTTACTATAAATTGGGATCTTGTAGATTTTAATACTCTTTTTGGAATATAATTTCTAATGGTTCTGAATAATTTGATTATATAATTGTATCAATGCAAAATTGGTAAATCGGGGGTCTAATTTATTCATCATAAAATTTTTTAATTGATTATGGATCAGTTAATTAAAGATTCCTACATTCCCTTTAAAAAGACTTATCATTAGCACTGAAGTTCTAACTTATAACCCATTATATGGTTTTATTGTTTATTGCTTCTGATACTTTATTTTGATTACACATTCTTTCATAATAAAGATCAAGTGTGATAATTTATTTTTGTATTTCTAAGTCTTTTGAATAAATATCCTTAATTATTTATGAACAATAGTTTAAGTCATTTTCAAGAGTCTACTTATAATTATCAAAGTTTACAATATCATCTTTTACATTACTATATAATTTATTGCCTTCTCTTGTACAAATTTAGATCATGTTATCTTTAATTTGAGAAGAATTTTCCTCTGATTTACATTCAGCCATTTTGAAGCGAATATATTTTTAAGAATTTTAGCAAAAGGTATTCTTCAATGCATTTGAACTTTTCTAAGATTATCCAAAGCTTTAATTAACCATATCTTAGATATCTGTAGCAGTTTTAGAAGAGATTTTTCCTTTATTTACTTAGTCTTAAATAATTGATTTTGCTTAAGTGAGAATTGTTTAATTATTATTAGTACTTTAAGCAAATTGTGATATTAACTTCAATGTATCATATTAAGCTAAGATATAACTTTTTGATAAATCTGTTAACCAGTACCCGGCTTTTGCAAGTCCTTCAGCTGTAACCTTAGGAATTTATTTTAAAAATTAATTGATTCCAATTTTCTCTAATGAATTCCATGCCTAACCTCCAAGTGTAAAAACTTCTTCAATAGCAGCAGGTCCAGCTAGAGCCAAAGTAGCTGCTATTGTAATCACCTTTTTTTTTCCCCAGGATCCCCAATCAATATCTATTCCTTACCAAGCAGCAGTTACTGCTGATATCATATCTGAAATTCCTGAAGTTATTAAAGTTGTTCCTATAGGCATCGCTAATCCACAAGTAAATGAACATATTGCACATCCAATTAAAAATTGACCCAATCCTATCAAAAACATTGCAATATATTTCCACCATTTTCTTTTCTTTTTCTCTTTTTTTAGTTTGATCAGTTTACCAAGGATAGGTAAAGGCCCATCTTGTATAACTTCCTCTTAATCTTTAATATTTTGCTATTAATCAACATTACCTTTTTCTTGTTACTCTATTACATTCTACCAAGTTAATTAAAGTTCTTCTTCATTTGGGTTGAAGTTTTTTACTGTATTTGCAATTTCATCAATATTATTTATAAGTTTTTCATACACCTTTATTTGATTATTTATTTTTAAGTCAAGAAAATCTTATTATTTAAGCCCAAATTGAATGGCTGGAACGTTCTCCATTTATGCTTATCTATTTAAATCTAAATTAGGTAACACTAAATTTTAATAGTCTATCTAGGTATCTGAAATTTAAACATTAGGCAATTTTATATTATCTTAAAATTAATCTACTTGAATTCTATTCATTTTAGATACTGTAGAAAATCCCTTCTCATCCTCTATTTTATTTAACACTAGCTGTTTTGCTTTATTCAATGAATTTAATCCTTCTTGATAATTTCTGCCTTTTATTTCATACAATCCTTTATAATATTATACTGAGAAATCATTATTCTCTATTTAAGCTGCTTTATTTATTATGCTTAAATCATCATGTTATAGCCCTGACAATATTAAATACTTATAATTTTATTGTTCTTCTGATTTCAATAATTGTTCTATATCATTTTCATTCAATCCTACATCTTGGAATTGTTCTAAATACAGACCCCATTTCTCTTCCAAAGCTTTAAATTCGGCATTGTTTTTTTTTATATCATAATTAACCATTCTCTTTGCAATCTGACAAAATTTTTAAAAGCATTTGTCTTCATTCAATAATTTCTCCATATCCTTCTCAATTTCATTTATATAGTCTTACTCATTTAGATCTCTAAAGAAGTTTAAAACATCAAATGTAGTTTAGATTTATTATTTTGAATGAGTTTCAAAATAATTTATAGCATCTTACATTGTTTCTATTTCTTACATAGACCCACAATATAAATTTTTCTTATAGTTTACAATCAACTAAGCTGTACCTTTCTTACCTTATCTTGCAGTTCTTCCAAATCCTTAACATTAGATTCTAATATTTCTAGGTAAAAACGACATGATCACATGAAGACCACCATTTGTTTCCAATTCTTCATTTGTAGTTAAATCTGTTCCTCTCCCAGCCAAATTTGTTGCTATAATAATTGTTTTAGGCTCAATCTTTCTACTTATTTCTTAACTATCATCAACATAAGTAATTGAATTAAGATTAGATTTTTATAAATGTTAATGAATTTTACTCACATCATTTATGGTTTGATTTATTATAAGAACTGCTCTTTTTCTGTTTATTTATTATTAAACTACCTTTGAAATCTCATCTAACCAATCCTCTTCACTATTACTTGCTATTCCAGGCCATTTCTATAAAAGACTTTTTTTATAAGGAGGCATAAATAAAAAGTCTAAATTGTANTTTATAAGTTTTTCATACACCTTTATTTGATTATTTATTTTTAAGTCAAGAAAATCTTATTATTTAAGCCCAAATTGAATGGCTGGAACGTTCTCCATTTATGCTTATCTATTTAAATCTAAATTAGGTAACACTAAATTTTAATAGTCTATCTAGGTATCTGAAATTTAAACATTAGGCAATTTTATATTATCTTAAAATTAATCTACTTGAATTCTATTCATTTTAGATACTGTAGAAAATCCCTTCTCATCCTCTATTTTATTTAACACTAGCTGTTTTGCTTTATTCAATGAATTTAATCCTTCTTGATAATTTCTGCCTTTTATTTCATACAATCCTTTATAATATTATACTGAGAAATCATTATTCTCTATTTAAGCTGCTTTATTTATTATGCTTAAATCATCATGTTATAGCCCTGACAATATTAAATACTTATAATTTTATTGTTCTTCTGATTTCAATAATTGTTCTATATCATTTTCATTCAATCCTACATCTTGGAATTGTTCTAAATACAGACCCCATTTCTCTTCCAAAGCTTTAAATTCGGCATTGTTTTTTTTTATATCATAATTAACCATTCTCTTTGCAATCTGACAAAATTTTTAAAAGCATTTGTCTTCATTCAATAATTTCTCCATATCCTTCTCAATTTCATTTATATAGTCTTACTCATTTAGATCTCTAAAGAAGTTTAAAACATCAAATGTAGTTTAGATTTATTATTTTGAATGAGTTTCAAAATAATTTATAGCATCTTACATTGTTTCTATTTCTTACATAGACCCACAATATAAATTTTTCTTATAGTTTACAATCAACTAAGCTGTACCTTTCTTACCTTATCTTGCAGTTCTTCCAAATCCTTAACATTAGATTCTAATATTTCTAGGTAAAAACGACATGATCACATGAAGACCACCATTTGTTTCCAATTCTTCATTTGTAGTTAAATCTGTTCCTCTCCCAGCCAAATTTGTTGCTATAATAATTGTTTTAGGCTCAATCTTTCTACTTATTTCTTAACTATCATCAACATAAGTAATTGAATTAAGATTAGATTTTTATAAATGTTAATGAATTTTACTCACATCATTTATGGTTTGATTTATTATAAGAACTGCTCTTTTTCTGTTTATTTATTATTAAACTACCTTTGAAATCTCATCTAACCAATCCTCTTCACTATTACTTGCTATTCCAGGCCATTTCTATAAAAGACTTTTTTTATAAGGAGGCATAAATAAAAAGTCTAAATTGTACTATTTATCTAATAATTGTTAGGTATTTTTAGAACCCAAAGTACCTGTAAGACCTAAAAGTTAACTTTTATATCTTTTAAAGTAACTAATGTTGGATAAATAATTAGTGCTGATTCTTAATGGAGTTATAGAAACCTTATGTTTCATTTAAAGAAATTGATGTAAACCTTTTTCCCATTGCATATTTTCCTTATGTACAACTCCTGTATTTTGATAATCAACTATTCTAATATTATCATTATCAATTTTGTAATTTACACCTTCATGAAGATTAAACTTTGCTTAAATAGCACTCTCAATCCAATATCTTTTCATAAAGCTGATATAATTTAAACGAAACTAGGGGATAAAATTTTTTAAAGTATCTCTTAACTAATTATTTAGTGTTTTTTCAATATATTCGTCTAGGTCAACAACTAAATTGCCATCATACCCTCTGGATCGAATCCAAACTTTTTTATTAGTCAAGAGGTTTGGCTCTACTTTACAAATTTCATCCCATATCAATCCAAGAACTTTGCTTAAATCAAGCATTCCTGGAATAGGAGAAGTTAGTATTGTCTTATTATTATTACCGTCAATAAGCATGGAATCAACTTCATCAACAATAACATATCCTTATTATCTATTACCCATCGTTCCTAATTCTGAATATTCATGTCTTAATATATCTGCTTAGAAACTATGAGTATCTCCATATATAATTTGACAATCATAACATGGAAGCTTTTTCTCTCTCTAATTTGATTCAGATATATTATGAGAGACAGATAATTAAAATAATTTATAAAAAGGACTTAATTCTTCAGCATCTCTTATTGCCAACACTGGAGAACTTGTTACAATGTCAACATTTGTCTTTTTCTTTTTACATAATAATACAGCCAACATCGCAACTATTAACGTTTTCCCTTCTCCTGTATAAATCTAAGCTAAACGTCCCTTCTTATTATTATGATTATATAATTCTATTACCGATAATAACTAAACTGGTCTTGGATAATAAGAAAAATGTTCTTTGACTTTTATACATAAATAAAGTAAATCTCCATATTCTAATAATGGTGATTATTTAAAATCAATTACATTTGATTAATTTTATTGGACATCTTATTATTCATTTTATTATTACAAATTTGATTGGATATTTTGTTATATGACATATTTCTTGTTTTATTCTATAATTTATAGGATATTTTATTCTATAATTTGTTTTATAATTATATAGACATTATTTTGTGAATTTTATTAGGGAACTTATTAGAAATCTTATAAGAGATCTTATTAGAAATTTTATTAGGGAACTTATTAGAAATCTTTTAAGAGATCTTATTAGAAATTTTATTAGGGAACTTATTAGAAATCTTATAAGAGATCTTATTAGAGTACTTATTAAAGAATTTATAGATTATAGAAATCGTTATATAGTTAGATAAATAATTACTATAAATCTTAATTCGGTCTAATATTTAAAGCATTAAATTCTGTAAATAAATCTTAAATTTGTTCATTCCAATTATTATACTCGTTAAGAAGTTACATCTTCTACTCATTAACTAGTTAGATGTTTTACTCTTGATCAGACCGATTTGTATTCTCAATTATTCTTTGCATAAGTTAAAATAATTATTTTCTCATAAATAATTTGGAATTGAATTTAATTTAAACTATTATAGAATTTCTATGTTATAAAAATTGTTATTATAAAAAAATTTAATCATAATTTATTCAGTTTTAGATGATGAAAAAAAGTAAAATTCGACATTATTTGAATATATAATAGAAAAAATGACATTTTTGTTTTATCATATAAAATTCTTTGAATTGTTTTTTTAATTATCACTCTGGAAAGACAAGTTTTTTTTTTATATTTGTCTTCCTTTCATGATATTACAACCTACTTCTTTAATCAAATTGATTTCTGGATCTGGATCATTTTTGTGATAGTTTTCATATGCCATCAATAGAATAATCTTTCTTTATTATCATGTACTCAATCAAGATTTCCATAATTTCTTTTATAATCTATTGAAGCAATACAAATTACAAAACTGAAAGCTTAAATGTTTTACTGTCAATATAATCTTTAATATATTTTAATATAAGTTTTACTCTAGTTATTCTTATAATTATCTCATAATATCTTGTACCTCTGCTTATTTATAATTTACAAAACATTGAAACGACAAACTAATTTTAAAATACTTATAATTATATCTATATCTATAAATTAAATGTAGTTCAATAAAACCAACTAAGATTTTTAAGTTGAAACATATATAACTCTTTTGCTTCATCCAATTTTCTTTCGTCGCCTTATCTATGACATGAACGTGCATAAAGACATGGAACTACGTTTACAATTTGCTTAGGAAACTTCTGAATATTAAATCCTATTTAATTAAATATTATCATAGATTAGATCCATCTTGATGTATACCTTGTTTCATCTTTTAATTATAATTTCAATAATTCTAATAGCACAAATAACTAATGTAAACCAATAAGGACTTCCTCTTCATATTCATCTCCTGATATTTCAAGTAATTCTGGTAAGGATTGCCACATTGCAGATTTAAGAGAAAAAAAATTGTTGTTTTCAATAGCTTCCTCTTTTAGACTCATATAGTTGAGGATTTAGATAACTTTAACCCCATTTAATTAGGATTTTAAAATTTAAACTGCTTAATTTAAAAAATCTCTTAAATTTAATTATTCATGTAAATTGCACATATAAATCATTTCTTATAATAAACTTGCAAATAAATATTAAGTAAATTTAGAATTAGGCATTTACTTTATAAAATTGATGATTGTAATAAAAGTATCAACACATTCAAAATTTTTTTCTTAGATTTGCAATTAAAATAAATGATGCTAAAGTGTAAATTAATGATATATATAATCATTTTATACTAACTTCATTGCTTTCTATAAATATTGTTTAGCTTTTATAAAATCTTTATTATGTATTAAAAATAGTGCATAACAATCATAAATAACCCAATTAAAATTATAACCTTCAAGATTTTACTCAATAAATTCTAAAAATTCTTCGATAAAAGATTGATATATATTATGATACTATAATATTTCACAATATATCCAACCTTAATAAAATATAGCATATTTATCATAATCGAACTGTTACATTTATTTAATAATATTACTACCACTTTCATAGATTACTTTTTCTGAATCTATATAAAATGTTTTGATATATTATTAAAAATCTAATTTAATAGGTTTTTACTAATTTTCTACTTTTAAATTTCCAAATGAAATTAGTCCATCAAAAAATTAATTTTAGTTTCTATGATAAGTAGTATTTAAAATATTTTTAGATTTGTTTAACCAAATTGAATCTATTAATATGAATTTCCATTCAATTAAGATTTAATACATATCTTTATAATTAATTAAATATGGAATAATATCTTCTCTAGTATTTATCCATTAATCATTTAATCGAGCTTTTAAACATATAAATTTAAGTAAAATTTCATCATTCTCTAATTCTAATTCATTTTGAATACTATTTATAACTACTTTAGCTTAATCCCATTAACCAATGATGTAAAGTAATTCTGCTTCCTGAAACTTTAAATTGCTATTTTATTCCTCTAAAATTGCTTAATATCCTTGACAAAGCATCAATTAAAGCATTTTCTAGCCTTTCTTTTCAAAAACATCATAATATAAATCATATTCAAATTTTGTCAAATCTTCAAATTAAATCTCTTCAAAAATCTCTAAGGCTGATGTACGATTAGAATATTTATCGACAAAGGTATCCAAAATCATAATTTGTTTTATTCTTTCTTTCTCATCAGAAAAATCTTAAATAGCTGAATTTAACAAAGTTTAAGTCCAAAATATCATATCTTTATTATAAGGTAAATTTAATGAATCTTGATATACTTTATAATAGAAACTAAGTTTGTAATTATTTTCCAATTTCATTTTTATGTCATTGATACTTTAAATTGATTCTTAAATTAATGAGGTTCTAATGAATTTTTTTTATTAAAATTACATTTTTATTTGGAAATAATCTTTATTATATAATTAATCTATTTTTGGATGTATCCTTTATTATTTATCTAAAATTTATTATAAACTTATAATATTATCTTCAGGATAAAGTATCTAAAGCATAGTTAATTAAAATGCATAGATATCTTTTTTAAATAAATTCATTTTAAATAATTTTAAGTTATGTTTTAAAGCTTCTCTTATTTATTTTTGCATATAAGCTCTAGTTCCAACAATAGGATATTCACCATAAGGTGTTGTATATTAAATTGCACATCCAAAATCAGCTAAAACCCAACCATTTTATTATGTATTTATAATATTTTCCAATTTAATATCACCATGTGCAATTTTTAGTGAATGAATTTTAATAATACTATCTAAAATACAATCAAACATATTATTCAATTGTTAATCAGTAAATTTCTAAAATTTAATTTAATATTCTTTTAAATTTCCCATTCCTAAATCTAAATAAGCATACATACGATAAGTATTCATATATTTTAAACTAATTACAATTTTATTTTATATTTAGATGATACATTCTGGATAATGTATAGCAATCTACTTTTATATTTTAAATTCTTCTGCTTATGAAATTACTTCATCAAAATCACAATTCTCTTATACCTTTAAAGCAGCTTATAAATTAGTATTTGGATTTACTGTTTAGTATACATTACCATAAGCTCCTTTACCTAATAACAATCCATTTTCTAAAATAAAATTAGCACCATTGCTTTTGCCATCATATATTTATTATTAATTGTAAGTGAATACTTCTGGATATTTTTTTAGTAATTAAAATATAGTCCTTTCTAATAAGGATACATTATAGATAATTTAAGCTGGATTTTCATTTAATTATTAATAATAATCAATAGTTTGAGTTTACTCTGATTATTTTGATTTATTTTATGAATTACTCATTTTATAAATTTTATTTTAAATAGTGAAATTATTTTTNAAAGTTTAAGTCCAAAATATCATATCTTTATTATAAGGTAAATTTAATGAATCTTGATATACTTTATAATAGAAACTAAGTTTGTAATTATTTTCCAATTTCATTTTTATGTCATTGATACTTTAAATTGATTCTTAAATTAATGAGGTTCTAATGAATTTTTTTTATTAAAATTACATTTTTATTTGGAAATAATCTTTATTATATAATTAATCTATTTTTGGATGTATCCTTTATTATTTATCTAAAATTTATTATAAACTTATAATATTATCTTCAGGATAAAGTATCTAAAGCATAGTTAATTAAAATGCATAGATATCTTTTTTAAATAAATTCATTTTAAATAATTTTAAGTTATGTTTTAAAGCTTCTCTTATTTATTTTTGCATATAAGCTCTAGTTCCAACAATAGGATATTCACCATAAGGTGTTGTATATTAAATTGCACATCCAAAATCAGCTAAAACCCAACCATTTTATTATGTATTTATAATATTTTCCAATTTAATATCACCATGTGCAATTTTTAGTGAATGAATTTTAATAATACTATCTAAAATACAATCAAACATATTATTCAATTGTTAATCAGTAAATTTCTAAAATTTAATTTAATATTCTTTTAAATTTCCCATTCCTAAATCTAAATAAGCATACATACGATAAGTATTCATATATTTTAAACTAATTACAATTTTATTTTATATTTAGATGATACATTCTGGATAATGTATAGCAATCTACTTTTATATTTTAAATTCTTCTGCTTATGAAATTACTTCATCAAAATCACAATTCTCTTATACCTTTAAAGCAGCTTATAAATTAGTATTTGGATTTACTGTTTAGTATACATTACCATAAGCTCCTTTACCTAATAACAATCCATTTTCTAAAATAAAATTAGCACCATTGCTTTTGCCATCATATATTTATTATTAATTGTAAGTGAATACTTCTGGATATTTTTTTAGTAATTAAAATATAGTCCTTTCTAATAAGGATACATTATAGATAATTTAAGCTGGATTTTCATTTAATTATTAATAATAATCAATAGTTTGAGTTTACTCTGATTATTTTGATTTATTTTATGAATTACTCATTTTATAAATTTTATTTTAAATAGTGAAATTATTTTTACGATCTAAATTTTTATTTTTCCTTATATTAGACTTTCTTATTAATAGCAATTCTAAAATTATTATATTAAAATTTCGATTAAAGAATTTTTATTTTAGTATATAACCACTAAAAAATGATTTATCATAATTTTCATTAATAACTCATCATGAAATATTTTTGAATGCACAAATAGCTATTTTTTTAGAGATTAGTTTATTTAAAGATAAATAAATTTATATTGTTAATCTTGATTAAATTTAACAGCAGCTATTTTTATAAAATCTTTAAGGCTCTTTGATTATATGTCCTTATTCTAGTTATTGTCTATAATTATTCAAAACTAAACTAAAATTTTTCAATTTAAGTATTCCATTTAATATCCATTATAATATTCTTAAGATGAAAAGGTAATTAATTTAATTGCCTTATTCGTTCAAAGCTTTTTAATGGTCTAAAAATTCATCCTTAGATGGAATATTATAGTTTCTATTTTTTGATTATCTGTTGATTTAAGATTCTAAATATTCTTATAACAGATTTAAACTTTCCTTGATATTGAAAAATTATCAAAAGAAGGTGAAATTTGTAAGTTCCATGAAATAATTAAATTAGTATGGAATTCTTAATTCATATAAAACTAACAAAAAATATATTTTAAGAATGGAAAATAACTTTATTGAGTTGAAAAATTTTAAACAACTTTAGAATCTTCAAAAAATTAGAGAATCTAAAAGAAATTTCATTAACAATATCTAGGAAACTAAATGAATAATATTTATATATACTCTATAGCCATCTAGACAAGATTCTGATGAAATTAATTCTTTTATTGCTCTTCTAAAAAACTATAGACGTTTAACAATAATATTGGGAAATATTTCGAGAGATTTAATTTCAAAAGGAATCTTGATTTCCATTTTTAAATTACTTTCTTATACTATCCCTTAATGATTAGATAAAATTTAAAATTTAACAGTTAAACAACCCTAACAAACTTTTGTATTGAAAAACAGAATCTTTAGAAGCTATTATGATGGTTATCTCATATTAGACCTTGTATTCCACCACTAATAACTTTAGAATCACCATTAAAACTGCATTCAGAAAATTGCACAATAAGGATCAAATACTTTGAGATCGTTATCAACCTTGTAGATTGCAGCTTAGCTATAAATTGAGTATATGGAAATTAAATTCCCTTATATTTTTAGAAAGAATAATTAATTATAATTGAATTAAAGACTTATTATTATTAATAATAATTGATGACCAAAGATTTTTCTATAAATGTAATAAAACTAAAATTTTATTAATTAGTATATTAAATTCTTGAAAAGTTTAATTAATAATAATCTAAAACTAAATAAGAGTTAATCTAATTAATTCAAAACCAATTATTAGTATATTATTTGTGGGTTTATATTTAAAAACTTTTAATGTATCTTTAAATTTTTTAAAGATGGATATAAGATATCTAAATTTTTTTAAATACATAAAAAATTTATATCATAGTAATGATTAAAGCTTTTTAATGTGTATATTAATTTCAAATATTTTAGTTTAATAAAATCAAAAAATAATTAAGAGTACAATATTAAGGTATCATAATTTATTTTGTACTTGATCAGAGAGAAGAATTTTTCGAAATCCATAAAAAGAATACAAAAGAAATAATCTATTGATATAATAGTATAGTAATTAAAATTAATTTTTAATCAAGCGATTTATAATACAAATTGACGTAAATTTACTACTGTTGATTGATGAATAATAAATATTAAACTAAAATTATTTTTAAATCAACAAATCATACAACTTGAACAACAACTTGATTTCTCAGTTTGAGGAAAATCTGGTTAAATTGATATTCCACCAGCATCGATACTCTATTCTTATTATATCTATTATTTAACATGTTTATTCGTTATAGGATCATTAAATAATTCTTGTTTTAATTATTTTTATTAATCAATAAGAGTACTAATAAATAATTCCTATCCTAGTTATTACTATTAATATTATGACAATATAGGAAGTGTATCCCAATTGAAAGACACACCACAACCTTTTAATAAAATTTTTGATTGGTCTCCTAATTAATTAGAGAGATCATTTTCAAGTTTTGTTCTTTAAACATTTGTACCTAAAAATGTAAATTAAAATCTTCTGAATTGAGTTTATTTTTTTTTATCAACATTACTTTGAGGTTGACCACAGCTAACATATGGGCAATTATTTAAATTAACCCAGATCAAACCGCAATTATAACATTATTTAACATTGTCGCCTAAAGGTAGTTATACCCAGGATCTACAAGTTTAAGCTTTTTGAATTACTTCATTTACCCTATTCCTTAATTTTATCTTCAATTTTGTATAACTTTAATATGTCTTTTAACAATTTCCATATTATTCAAATAATTCTTCAAATGTCTTAGAATGTTATTCTGTAAATTCCGTCATTATCAAATGAGCCTAGTCTATAATAGTTAGACACAGTTCATGCATTTATTAAACTATATCTTATTCTTAGTTATCAATCAATTAATCAATAAAATCACAAGCTCCATCACAAATTTATTAAAATTTTGACTCTATTTCAACTGTATCAATCTCTTCCTTTGTTTTTATAATTTCAATTTGCTTTAATATATTGGTTTTAAATAAATCAATCTCTGAATTTTATTCATTAGTAATAATCATATCAATTTATTAACAAATAGAATTTCCATCAGAATTTAAACCTGAAAATAAATGATTTTTCAATTTTAGTGGTTCAATTATTTAATTTTTTATATTCTCTTTCTCTAATTCTTCTTTTTATTTTTCTAAGTCCCAATGAGATATTATCAGTATCAGTATTTACTAATATGGCTGAAGAATGCTCAGTTTTTCTTCTAATTCTTTTTTCATTTCTAACAACTCTCTGTATTTTATCAAAAGTAAAATTGCATTCAAACGACCCGAAGAAACAGAAAGTATTTATGCTAAAGTTGGTAATATGTCTTCTTTGGATTGTAATCCATCAGTATCCAATACAAAGAATCCATTTCCAAATGCTGTCGATATAAGTTAAGGTTCTTCAATCTTCTCTTGTATTTGACAAATTTTTCTATGAAATTCTGTTTTTCCACACCCTTTTTAACCCAATAATATTGCTATAGATCTATTAATTTTCATAAAGTATTCTAATTATTAGTGAAAATGAATTTGATAAAAAAATTGACTGAATATTGTAAATCATTTAACTATGTAAATAACATAGAATACTAAACAGAAATGTTATCCTATATATTTTAGAAAGGAATATAAATAATAACAGTTCGATGAATCATATAAAAATTATATAAATACTCAAATTCTATTTATTTGAGATTTTAAATCTATTATAATCCTATTTGAAATTTTTAAAAATGAATAGCAATATCATGATTCTATATATTTGAACTTCAAAATTCTTATGAAATGAAGATATTAAATATTTAAACATTCTTTATTTTTCTAAGGAACATTTAAGTTTTTATTATTTTTATTAGATTAATTTATATTAAAATTTTTTATATATTCATTAATTAAATTAATTATGATTAATCAATTCATATAATAAGCTTTTGAAGATCCATTTTGTCCTTAAATCAAAGCCACTGCAGTAAAATTAAACTAGCCATAAACCTCTCCTATTTTTCATGTTGATTGCAAAATTACAAAAAAGAAAATTTGTACTTGTTAAAACTTTTGCTCAATTCCATTTATTCCATAGTAAAATTAGAGAGCCTTATAAGTTTTCTTATAACATGAATTAGAGGGTTTGAAATTATAGGATTTTAAAGAAGCATAATTATTAGTAAATCTATTGTATATTAATTAATAGCACGATTTCTATTAGGAGAAAATTGAGAATACATAAGAAGTTGAAAAACCCTCTTGATTTATAAAAAAAATTTATATTATAATCCAAAAGAATAATTTTTATGATCGATATTTTATAATCAATATAGGGAAGGTGTTAAGACTAAGATGAAGTGTTTATCGAGATATTAAAAAAGAATGAGATGTCAGAAGAGAATAAAAAAAAATTTGAAAGATCGACAAAAAGTTTAATATTTTTTCTAAAGCAATTTGATTATAATCCATTTAATTCAGAGATTGAATTTTGTGTATTTGGATCTTAATTAAATGGATTTGGTACGAAGGAATCAGATGTAGATTTCACTTTTATTACGAATTCTTACGTTGATGAAAGAATTGCTTTAAAATATTTATAATAAGAAACCAACTCTGTAGACTAGAATAAATTTAAAATTAAAGAATTTGTAGAATTTGCCAGAATTGCTGTGATGAAGATAGAAGATTCAAATAATAAAATTGAAATTGATATTTGCTTTAATAATCTTTTAGGGGTAATAAATACAAAATTATTATATGCATATGCAAATTTAAATAAAAAAGTTTAATAAGTATCTTTAATATGATATTTTAGGGTGGAGTGTTATTAAAGTTATGGGGAAAGAAACAAGGAATAATAAATAAAAGCTGTTTCTCATCTTATGCTATTCTAATAATGTGGCTACATTTTTTATAAGAGAAATATCAAATGCCAAATCTATAGAATAAATAATATAAACCCTCTAATTAGAAAACTATGTTATCAATCAAAAGAAATATTGAAGGTAGAAGAGTTAGCAGTTTTGATGTTGATGTCTTTTTTGTATATAATATTAGATTTATAATAGGTTTATAATGGATAAAAATATAATTAGTTAAAGGATTAATTTGACAAATCAATGTCTTAGGTTTCTCTGAAGTAATTATTGAAAGATTATTTTACTTATTATTAAGATTAAGGTGAAGGATTTAATTAGAAATATAAAATTTCAATAAATGAGAAATAATTGAAAGAAGAAGGGGAAAAATATTCAATGTGTGATCCTTTTGATAAGGAACATGATCCTATAAAGAAAATTAGAAATAATTTTAAAGATTAATAGGTGTTTAATAGAGCAGCAAAAAGTATTGAATAAAATGCTTAGATTATGTTTTGAATTTTTATTAATTATTTATAAATAAATATATTAAATTGTTTAAATTTAATTAATTAACAGAAAAATATTAAAATGAAGTCTCTTCCAAAATAATAAACAACAATCACAATGGCAAGACCATGTTCTGTATCAAAAGAATATTCAACAATGATGGTTAATTCACCGGATAGATAATTTGGATATGGAACAAAAACTTAATCATAAGCAAGAGTTTAAACAAATGTGGCATCACCATATATGTAATCTCCAACATATGAAGCAAATAAATAAGTCTTGACATCACGTATATTATTCAAAAATAGACATAGCAAATCTTCCGATTTAACCCTCTTCACCTAAAAAATTGATTGATTCATATCATTACAAATAAAAAACATTAGATTATAAAGTGCCATAAATACCATAAATCGAAAATAAAAATTTTAATCAGTATGGTGATTATAAACCCTTTGAGACAACTAAATAATTATTGTCATAAGTAAATTAATATGATCTTGGAAAATATGATTTTGCAAAAACATATAATTTTGAATCAAATAAAGAAAATCGAGATTTGAATTCTGAAAAAAGAAATCAAAGCAGATAAGAATTAAATCCTTTCTTAGAATCTAAAGAGAATATTAAAGCTGGACTCGATTTCATGTGCAGATCACCAATTCAAGATGTAAATAATTAATAAACTTATTCAAACTATTCTACAAGTAATATTTCGTAATAGAAACAAACAACAACGATTGTTTAATCAAAAACAAAACTATAAACTGAAATTAATAAAATATCAAGTTCATTGAGAGAATTAATCTCTGCAGTTCAGAAATAATTAGGAGCAAACTAATTACCTGATGCATTAAATGATAAAATGATAGAAGTTCTTTCTAATTTTAGAAAATTAGAAGAAATTGCTTTATCTGATTCTTAACAATAATAATCTCCTTATCCTATTCAAAATTCTAATGATAATGAATAAAAAATTATTACTTTGACTGAGGATTACAATAAACTAAAAGGAATTTTAGAGTAACTTTAAACTAAAATGGCTTCTTTAGTTTAAGAAAATCATAAGGTAATTTATAATATTATTAAAGCTTAATAAAAAGTTGATAGAATATGAATAAAAAGGAGTTTAAGATGAAAGAAAAAGAAAAGAAGATGATGAAAGATCATTATATACATAATAAGAATTCAATAGAGTCTTAGAATGTTTGTAGTAAAATTAAAAAGAAAATGAAGATTTAAAACAATAATTATAGAAAGCTGAAAAAAGTAAAACAGAAAATATGGTTTGTAGATAACTATTTTCTTAAGATGAGTAGGTTAGAGATTTAAGAACAAAATATTAAAATTTATAAAAAGATTATGAATAACTTGAATTAAAATACAAACAATCAATTTAAGATAAAAGTTTTTATTAAAGAGATATGACAAAATCTCCATCAATTTTAAGATCCCCATCTGTTAATAATGTTTAGAAATAATCAAAGTAGAATGAACAATTAGAATTGAAACTTTTTTAATTATAAATTGAAAATGATAACTTGAAAGCTGAGGTTGCACATAATTAAGTTGATTCAAGATAATTAGATCAGAAAAATTCTGTTATTAATTAATTAGAAGAAAAAATTAAATAAACATTAAGAGAAAAAGCAGAATCTGAAGAACATTTTTAATAATTATGTTATAATCTAGAAAATTAACTTGAATAATTCAGAGTTAGTTTGCAATAAAAGGAATTAGATTTGAATCAAGTAAATAAATAAAAAAAAGAAATTGAAAGAGATTTTCATTCATCTGTTTAAAACTATTAATTAGTATAAAAAGGATTAGATGATAAATTAGTGCTTGCAAAATAGGATTATGATAAATTATTATAAGAGTATAAGGCTCTAGATTCTAAAAAAAATAAATTACAAGAGGATTTAACTATTTGTGAAAAACAATTAGAATAATCAAAAAATGAAACTAATGGAGTTTTAAATGACAATAAAAAGTTTTCAGAAAAACTATAACAAATATAAAGACAAAATGATTAATAGAGTTAACAACTTTAGTAATATTAAATTTCAACTTAATAATTATTGAAATAATTAGATAACTTCAAATAGTAAGAGTTTTAGTTTAGATAATAAATTGAGATTTTAGAATCTAATTTACATTAAACGAAACAAGAAACAAAAAATTAGATTAATGATTTAAATGAAGCTTTAGGGATGTAAATATCTAAGACTAAAGAAAAAGAAAAATAAGTAATAGATCTAATTGAGGAAATGAGTGCATTCAAAGATTAATATGAAGTTTAAAAAAAAGTGTAATAAGAAAATATAAATGATTTGGAAAGAAAATAACGAAATCTAAGGATTTAATTAGAGGAAACAATTGAAGTTAAAGAAAATGAAATCAATGATTTAAAGTAAAATATGGAATAATAGATGAAGATTTTAGATAAAAGAAATGCACTTTCAAATTATGATTTTGAACAAAGAGAATATTAATATTAATAAGATTTACAATAAAAAATGGAACATATTGAGTCTTTGAAAATGGAAATGGAAAAAATCAGAAGTGTTAATTACAATATGTAAGAAGAAATGCTAAAAAATAATATGGCTATAACTTAATTATAAGCAACTATCAATAGTTAAAAAAATGAATTAGCTTAATCTAAACAAGAATAAATTCACTTAATGGATTTACTTAAAAAAAGAAAAGAAGAGACAGAACAATTACATTTAGGATTAGAAGAGGCAAGAAAAGAGTAATAATTAAAGAAAAATGCTGTTGAAGATAGTAGAAGTATATGATTATTAAAATTTTAGGGTCTATGTTTAGATAATAAGATTTGTAGTCATAGTTAGAAAGTATTTAAAGAGACAATTTAGCTTTAACTTAAAAGGTTAATTCACTAAATAATGAACTGAATAGAAAGCAAAGAGAATATTAAGAAAAGATTGAGGAATATTCAATTTTAAAGAGAAAATATGACGAAACTCTTTAAAATTTGGAAAGATTAGAAAAAAGATGGGGAGAAAAAATAGACTAACATAGAAAAATTTGATTAGTTAAATTATAATATAAAATATTTCCTAGAGAGTTTTTATATAATAAAATCAAAAATATAATTTATTGAGTTATTTCTAATTTTTGTAAAAAATCTCTTTGATTTTAGAATATTGTTGAATTTAATATAATATTTATAATATAAATGGCAGCTGATCTTCGATATTCTTAAATAGACAATCCAACAGGAATGGGAAGAGAATATGGCGAGTTGGATTTAGTTAAATTAGCTAAATTAGATAAATTATTATCAAAAATTGATAATGATTTTAAGAAGAAATAAAAAGAGATCACAAAACCAAAATTAGTGGAAATTATGAAAACAACTCATGAAATTTATTAAATTGTTTTATATGAGATATCAGAAATGCTAGAAAATGCAAAATTATCTGAATTAAGATAATCTCTTAATAAAATATATAATGGTTAGAACATGATTCTAAATTATATATTAAAGTAATGTTTATTTGTAATATTTAGATTGAATACAAACTTTGAGGTTTAAGCAGATAAAATGCTTGAAACTTTGTAGAAAAACATTGGATAACCTAGAAGAAAGTAAAGATTTGTGAAAATATATTAGATCAGTAGATTAATCTGCCTAACATAGTCAAGAAACAAATAAGTTAGCGAATTAAATGGTTTAATTGTAGCCTATTGTTAAAGTAAAAGATTGTATAATTTTAGAAAACTGTAAGAAAAACATTTGCTGAAAAAGCAACTTATACAGGTGATGATATAAGAGATGCAAGAAATTAAGCAAATTTATTGAAGAAAGAGATGGAACTGAAGGAAATGCAATAAGAATTAGATTAAGAATCGTAATAAATAACTGATTTTTTGAAGAATAAGAAATTGGATTTAGCAGTAGGAGAATCAAAGGCAGAAACTAATTTGAAGGAAGTGTTGAAAGATTTAGGTAAAAAGAAACATGAAGTAAATGCTGCTGAAGATGAAGCAGTTTAACATTTTGAGGAGTTACAAAAGCAATAGTAAAATTAATTAAAAAGTTTGGAAGGTGCATTTGTAGAAGGAATATAAGGGATGTAAAAATAGGCTTAAGAGAAGGCATAAGCTGATATCAAAGCTGGAAAGGCTATAATGAAGAATGGTGTATTAGTATACATGTAAGAAGCCTAAATTTAAACAGATAAAATGAGAATAGAGTAAGAATATTAAGATAAACTTGATAAATAGAGAAAAGAGAATCATGATGTTTAATAGAAAATGATATAATTGGAGAAGAAAATAAAAGACACTCTTATAGAAAGAGATGCATATGCATAATAAGTAGGGGTTTTAAATGGTTAATTATAAAAAGTGACATTAGATAAAAAAAAGTTAGAGGAGAAATAATAAGAAGAGAAGAAAGCAAAAGATAAATAATAATCAGAGTAGTAGGCTGTTTTGAGTAAAAATGATTCAGAAAAAATAAAGAGATTAGTAGAGGATAATATAAAAATGAAACTTAGAATTAAGACATTATTAGATAATATTGCTGCATTAGAAAAAGAAATGAATAGAAATTTTGAAAGATTTAAATTATTTATAACAAATAATCCAAATTTAAGTGATGAATAAAAGAAAGCAATATTAGGTTAAGCAGAGAATCTATTTAAAGTAAATTTAAATGAAAAATTAAATGTATAAGAGATGAAAGAATTAATGGCAGTAGATGATTTATTAAGAGATCCAATATTTAAATAAATTTGTGGATCTGATATAGGAGCAATTACAAGGGGAGTAAAAAAGGATGAAATGACAAGAAAATAAAAATTAGCAAAAGTACCATTTTATGATCCTTTATTTGATCCAGAATTTTTGAATCCAGATGAAAAAATAATAATAAGAAAAGTTAAAAAGATGGTAAGAAGATAAAAAAGTGATGGAGAATGGGTAGAAGAAGAAATGGAAGTAGAAGAAGAGGTTGTAGTAAATGCATAAGGAGAAGAATTAAGAAAAAGAGATAAACCAAATTAAATTTAATAATCAAAATAAACTCAGGATTTTCTTGATGCTCATGGGGGATTTGCTATAGGTGGATCTAAAATAAATTTGCCATCTAAACCAGTAGCTAAAGATGGAAAAGAAATTAAATAAGGAGAATGGTTTGAAGATAAAACAGGAAAGAAGGTTAGAAAATTATAAGGGAATGAAGCTGATGAAGAGAGATATGAAGTTGAAGAAGAATATATTGATGAAAATGGATAAAAATAAAAAAGAATTAAATAAGTTAAAATTAAAAAAGATAAGAATGGCGTTGAATATGTAGAAGAAGAGTATATTATGCCTGATGGTAAGAAATTAAAAGTGGCTAAGAGAACTGTAAAGGATAAAGATGGAAATGATATTATTGAAGAAGTAACTGTTGATGAAAAAGGTAATAAAATTACAAAGAGATAAAAAGCATATAAAGATGCAGATGGTAATGAAATTTTTGAAGAAGAAATTATAGATGAAAAAGGAAATAAAACTAAAGTTAAAAGAAAAGTTTATATAGATAGTGATGGCAATGAAGTAATTGTTGAAGAAAGAATAGATGCTAAAGGTAATAAGGTAATTACTACAAAGAGAAAAAATGAATATGGTTAAGACATTATTGAATAATAAATTATTGATAAGAATGGTAAAATTGCAACTAAAGAGTAAAAGATTTATCAAGAAAATGGTATTACTGTAGTTGAAGAAGTTGCTTTTGATGCTTAAGGTAATAAAATAATCAAGAAAACAAGAATTAAGGATGGTATTGAAGAAGTTGAAATATAAAATGCTGATGGATCTGTAACAATATAAAGAAAAGTGAAGAATTAAGATGGAACTGAAACTATAGAAGAAGAAATTGTTGATGCTAATGGAAATATCACGATTGTCAAAAAAAAAGTTTATAAAGATGCTAAAGGTAATATAATTACTGAAGAAGAAAGAATTGATGCTAAAACAGGTTAAAAAATAGTAATTAAAACAGTTAAGGATTCTTTTGGAAGAGAGACTGTTTAAAAATAAATTTAAAATAAAGATGGTTCAATTGTTAATTAAGAGAAAAATGTATAATAAGATGC